TTCAAGTAAGATTCTCATTAGTCTTCTCTTTCCAACCAAGTTTTTGTCCCTAAGCAATACAAACTAGAGGGACCACTCTTAGGGGAACTGTGTGCATTCCTTTTTGGATATGAGGGGAGGGACGACTGTGATGAAATGCCACATATATATTGTTGTTGTTGTTATGTGCCGTTGAGTTGGACCCAACTCACAGCGACCTCTCCTTGGGTTTCTGAGGCGGTCTCACTACTGATACTGCATTCCATTCTTTTCCTGCAGGGAAAGGGGGAAGACACTATGTTTTTTCTTCAGAAGAGAAATGGAGAGTTCCTTTGAGGCTATGTAGAGAATGTGGAACAAATTTTGGTTCTAGGCAGTATAGGCAGAGCTCAGGTGGCATAGTGCCTAAGGCATTTGAATGCTAACCAGAAGGTTGAATGTTCAAACCCACTAGCCACTCTGTGGAAGGAACATGAGGCAATCTAGTTCTGTAGATTTACTACCTCAGAAACCTAATGTACAACCAGTGTTTCTGAAGGTGTTATAGGGATTCCTTAAATGTTTGGTGAAAGTTTCATTTCTAAATTATATTTTTATGTTAATTAAAAAACATGCTGTCACACTAAAAGGTGTTACATGACTATAATTGGCATAACAGGGGCTGCCAATGTATTAATTTAGACTGCTGCCAGATTAATTCATTTTAACACATACATCGAAATAAGGCTAATCCTGCCATTTTCATATAACAGAACATTTTTGACTATTTTTTGCTAATTTACACTTGTTTGTCTTTATGTGCCATCAAGTTGGACCCAACTCATAGCGACCCCTCCTTGGGTTAGAATAGTCTTATTAGTTATCCACTAGAGTGCCTCTATTATCTACATGAATGTTTTTGTTTTGTAACTGAGTAAAGAAAAAGGTTTAAGGTTTAAAAGTATTTAAACACTTACTGATGAAGATCAATGATTACAGGCTTCCATATGGATTACCAAAAAAAAAACAAAAACAAAACCCAAAAAACCCAAACTCATTGCCGTCCAGTCAGATCTGACTCATAGCGACCCTTCGTTGGGTTTCCAAAGCGATACCATTACGGAAGTAGATTGCCCAGCCTTCCTTCTGAGAAGTGGCTGATGGGTTTGAACCACCAGCCTTCTGTTTAGCAATTGTATACTTTGGGCACTCTGCCACCAGAGCTCCCATTTAGAGATAGCACACTAAGATTTAGAGAAGAACCTAAATTATTACTAGATGGTCACTGCTTATTGTTGTGAAATAGATATTTTGATGATACATAGTGAAAACAAGGTACAGGAATAATTTGAGATGCTGATGGATCCATTACCCTGCGCATGCATGTGTATGCATATGTGTATGTGTTCATAAAAACAGCCTTGTTCTCACTGATGGATTTTATAATTAAATGTTGTAAACTTGAACTTGTAGAGTTATATCTGCACATGAAAATTGTTAACTGAACAAATGGAAATAAAACTCCACATATATATTGTTGTTGTTGTTATGTGCCGTTGAGTTGGACCTGACTCATAGCAACCCCTCCTTGGGTTTCTGAGGCGGTATCACTGCAGAAGTAGATTGCCCAACCGTCCTTCCAAGGAGTGGCTGGTGGGTTTGAACCATCAACCTTGTGGTTAGCAGTCAAGTGCCTTAGGCACTACATTACCAGAGCTCCCAACATTACCTAAACACAATTTCACATCATTAAAAAGTTCCACTGAGATTTAAAAGGTTTGAAAAGCACACAAAAATAGTACATGATATGAGTCAGGGCCGACTCGATGGAAAATAACAGCAACAACAACAGGACCAGAATGGGCAGGCAATTGCATTTTTCCCTTTGTCCCATTTACTAGTCCTCATGCCCAAGTGCTAGAGTGGCATTTGGCTGTGGCCAGCCCCTCTAACAAGTGCTAATTCTGTCTAATAGGATTGCTAATTAACCAGAACAGAAAAAACAGCCAACAAAACAGACCTAATATGCCTCATCACTCTCCAGGACTAGGTGGTAAATAAGGCACATAGACAGTAAAGGTGGAAGAAAAAAGAAAAAAGAAAAAAAGCGAGCTATCTCAAATAATCGATTGAAAACCTAACTAAAGGTTAGCAGTCTTCGTGCTTTCTTGCTCCCATTCCGAAAACAGAAAGATTAAATAGATTGATTCAAGCAGATATGCTTTGAAATGCCATAAAGGATGTCTGTGTGGTGCAGTATTGATAAACTGCCTGAGTGTATCACTGGCATTTGAGTTTTACTAGCCCAGCAAGAAGAAGCAAGGAGCAGATTTTTACCTCCCTCCCGCCTTGCTTGCCCTAGGAGTTGCTTCAACAGTTCCGGCGTGCTGGTGCCTGAGCCTGGGGCTCCACACCATTACACGCTGGGTTAAAGGGTCCCTTCTCTGCTGCTGCTCTGAATTCCCTCATCCGATGAATGGGAGACATAGCCTGTGACCAGCTGAACTTCATTATTGAGTTTACTGCTGTATTGTATCAGGAGAGCAACTACCTAGAAATACTTTATGCCCACACCCCTATTTTCTTGGTGGGGGATTTATAGGCCTATTCGGTGAAATCGTATGGAGCTGGAGCAGCACCACCGTTCTGTGTCTTCAAACAAACAGCCACCCTGCTGCCACTGATCAGCGTTCCTAGGATGGCGGTGATTGAAATTTAGCACTTAGAGCGACTTAATTGGCACAAGGATCTGCTAAGCATATGCCCCCACTGCAGGCATGCCATCTGATGTGCCCATAGGGTGCCCAGCACCTCACACATGCTCGTGTTTTGCTGCTGAAGCAAGTTTTGAACAGATCCTTTGAGGAAGCTTGTGTTGTGGTTTACAATAGGGTGGCCTTTGAGGACAGGACCTGGGGAACCTCTGTCTTTTTGCCACCATAGTTCTCTGCTTCCTTGAACTTGGAACACATCTGAATTCCAGTTGGCTTGCTGTGAAGGAAGTGTTAAGAATCTGCTCACTGATGCTTTCGACTTTGGTAAATCAAGCCCTATGGTAGCAGAGCGGTGCTTGGAAAGTTCAGCAGCTTGCTGCCTTGGAATTCAACATTCGGATGTTCTGCTCTGTGCCTCGAAGTGATCTTTGGGCCTACAGAGAAAAGATCAGAAAATCTGTGTCAGCATTCTTCTGCTGAGTTGCAAGCAACAGGGCCAAATGTTCTAGGATATGAGTATCAGGAGAAAAATAGGAACCACACTAGAGAGTGGAGCAGACCATTACATTCTCTTTATGTATGAGGAGCAGGGAAGGCGTGGGGATGTCAGTGGTGAGGGACGCACTGCTCTGTTGAATGTTCCCAAAGGTTCTGGGGGCACATGCACTTCAGCCAACCAAGTAGCCCTTCTGATAGCTATAGGCACCAAGAGAAGCCACTTTGCCACTGCTGCCACAGTGGGCATTGAGTTTCAGGGAACCTGGGAAGGGATAGATCAGCTCTCCATCAACTTCCTTCTCCTTTGATGAGTGTGTCATTGGGCTGTAACTGGACCATGGACTACTAGGCCTCATCTTTTGTATTTCTTTCTGTTTGCCATCAGGCAAAAATCTTGAACTGATAATAAATGCTTAATAAATGTTTGGTGGATTCTGGAAGAATGAACTAAATCATTTGGGTTTCTTTGAGCGAAGTTGAAACATTGATAAATGAAAATCCAAGGAAAAAATGCCATGAAGCTAATGAAGTGTTAGCTTCTTGGCTACGTAATTGCACAAGTACTTTCCAAGGATCTGGTTTTAATTTTCTATTCATAATTTTATGATCTTTTTCTTATGGACCATCTTCAAATTCTAACAGCTTCAGGATTCTGTGAATCCTAGATGGCTCCTGTTGGAATGCTGTTGCCCAGCCTCTGGGGCACTATCCCATGGCTCTCCTAGAAATTGAGAGATGAGAAGAAGTTGCTAAAGCCAAGCCCACAGAGGAGAAAGGAAAGAAACTAGTATTTAAGAACTCTTGGCTAATTAATAGGAGCTCTTGTAGTGTAGTGCCTAAGGCGTTTGACTGGTAGCCAGCAGCCTGCTGGTTCATACCCACCATTCACTCCTCAGAAGGAAGATTGGGCAATCTACTTCCGTAGAGATATGGTGTCGGAAACCCAAGGAAGGATCACTATAATTTTCATTTATTGCTTAAATTAACTCCTCACAGCAATGTGCAGAGGAAGAGTTGCATTGCTGTCTTTATAAATGGGAATGTCGAGCTTTGGGGAAGTTAAGTAACCTACCTGTGTGGTCCACCTGCAAATGAGGAGGCTGGCAACTGCGACATTAGCTTCTCTCCTGATTTTCCATCCAAAGGCTTCCCTACCTGTTGCCATCCAGTCAAGTTCAACTCAGAGCAATCGTATAGAACAGAGCAGAACCACTGCATAGGGTTTCCAAGGCTGTGGTCCTTACAGAAACAAACTGTCACAACTTTCTCCCATGCAGTGGCTGGTAACTTTCAGCTGCCAACCTTGTGGTTATCAGCCCAGTGCATAACTACTGTGGCACCAGGGCATTTTAGTGGCTCCCTTTGGGGTGCAAAATGGACAGTTCTGACAGCGTTCTCCAAAAGTATGAAGGCCACCAGATAAGAAATGCTTAGATGGTCACTAACTTTTGGTGTGGGGTAAGAGGATGAGAAGTGGGGAGGAGATAAGGCCTAAGTGGTTTAGGAGAAGGCTTTGGCAAACCCTTTCCCTTCATGAGAGCAACGCTGAAACATTTCATTCAATTACGTTGTTGTTGTTATGTGCCATCGAGTTGGACCCGACTCATAGCGACCCCCCCTTGGGTTGCCAAGGCAGTATCACTACGGAAGTAGATCTCCCAACCTTTCTTCCGAGGAGTGGCTGGTGAGTTTGAACTGCCAGCTTTCTGGTCAGCAGTCAAGTGCCTCAGGCACTATGCACCAGAATCCTAAACCCTCCCTTGGGCTCTTTCAGTTCTGAGAAATTGTAATTGTTTGAGACTGACCATGACTTTTTTCTTCCACCTTCAGGTGATTCTCATTTTGACGAAGCTCTATGACTACAACCTGGGGAGCATCACTGAGAGCTCGCTGTGGAGGTAGGTAGATACCGTGAGCTGATAATCACTGACAGAGTGCAACACGATGCCTCTCTTGCACTAAAGCACCCTCCACTCGGGTTCCTGGTTAGGTTCACCCTTTCCTCCTTGGTTTCCTCTGGGTTTCCCTTAGCAATGGGTTGGGGTTTATGTCCAGGCAGGCAGACCCTTCCTTCCTCTGTGGACCCTTTCTCTGGTTCACGGTCCCCTCATGGTAACTACATGAGGTTGTGTTTCTGCCTTTTGGTTCCCATGGCTCCCACTGATCCATGAGATGATTGGAGCAGAATGGAAAAAGGGAGAGTTTTCTGCAGAGGGGATCAACAGCCCTCTGGTCTGCAGAACCCAGACAGGCTACCAGGATGATGCCGTCTCACTCACTTCCCTTCTGTGGTCCTGCATTTATTTCACTAACAGCACACACAGGTATGTGCTCACACTCACAGGCACACTCTTACTTCTGGGCTACACATTGTATTGCCACATACAGGTAGAATGTTTCAAAGGAGTGAATACATATGCTTTAGGGCAAAGCAACTCACTGAATATTTGGGCAAAATATGCAGCTGGGCTCTTTAAAGACCAGAATCCAGGGATCTCTTCTCTCCTCCTCTCTTCTTGGAGGCTCTACATCTTGTTGTTTACATCCAGTTTGAGAAATCTGCTTTCTTTGTCTTGCTGCTGGTTGGCTCTTTGGGCTCTTCTCTTGCCAGTCTTGATTGCATTCCTAAACTCAGACCAATCACTAAAGCCCAAGAGAGCACTGGTGGTGATTGTCAGATGAGTAATCAGATGCTTATGCTACAGTTTGTGTCGTGACAAAGGTATGTGCTGGATGCTGGAAGAACACTGCAAAGAGTGGTTGGTGCAGGCAGGGGGACCCCAGAAGGCCTCAGGCAAAAGATGAGCTGAACTGACTTATTCTGCTTTTAGTGACGGCAGTGATATATATATATATATATATATATATATATATATATATATATATATATATATATATATATATGCATGTATGTATGTATATATATATGTATGTGTATGTATATATATATATATATACACACATACATACATACATGTATTTATATGTAAATATGTTTATATGTGTATATATAATGACATATATATAATGTAATATATAATATGAACTCTCTCTCTCACACACATCCCATCCAAAAATATTTATATACTTTTCTAATGCACCCACAGCAGTCATTTGCCACACACATCATATGTCATGTATGCCATATATGACAACTGACTATAGACTATCTACAAACTGGTCATTTTAATATTTTAAAAGGAAGAGCACATATCTCAGTGAAAATGCATTTAGTAAAGAAAAGAGACATGATGAAGGAACAGTATTTGGAATACTTCACACTTCATGCATGCTTTCGTAGGGCTGCATTTTTGAGCACCTCTGGGTACCCATACTCCGTGCTCAGGGAACCTCCTTGGGGGTCTTGTTACAGAGGAGGGTGCAGGCTGGAAGAGGAGAGGATGGGGAAGAGGACACCTCTCAGCCTGGGTCATTTAGTGCAGCCCTGCTTGAAAGACTTTGGAACAGCCAAGAGTGGATTGTTTTCTCCTGCCCCAGCTTGTATTTTCTTTTTAGAACACCTGCCTACACCAAAATCTCATTTGGGGCCCAAGCTGTGTTTTGGACATTATCCTAGAACCCATACCACTGAGCACAGCACTTTACACATAGAGGATGCTCGGTAAATATCTGTTATCGAATAGACCAGTGAGTTGTACAGTTTTGTCTCTGTGTGGTCATCAACATATAATTTTCTTTCTCTTTGTTTAACAAAGATGTATTGATAACTCCTTTATGCCCTAGATTGTGTTGGTTCAGGGAGGAAAGGTGGGCAGGTACATAGATCAATGGCACACAGACTCTGTCCTTTAGATGTTCATTGTCTCCATGGAGACAAAGATCTGTGGACATTTAAGGTGAGAAAGAAATGTACAGGCATGTAACCTGCTTTATATAATTACATTGAATAAAGTACTTAAACAGCTACCCAGAACTGTCAGACCCCAGAAGATAAATCTGTTTATGTAAATAGACAAACTGTCATACAAGCCTAAGTATTATAATAAAGATAAGAAGTAAATGTTGCTTCTTTATTTTGCTCACATGTATATTTTCTCTTTTCAACCAGACTTTAAGTCCTTAAATCCAGTGCCTTGCTGTTTAAAACATGATGGTGATGATGCTGGTGGTAAAGGTAATCATGACAACAAAAATAAATGCTAACATTTATTGAGCACTCACTAAGTGTCAGATAGTATGCTAAATGCTAGGATGCATTCTCATGCCATCCTCTCAATTCATTTTTATAGTGTGTTCAAACATACACGTTAGTAAGTTCAAGTACCTGGACTTAAAAAAAAAAAAAAAAACACTGCCATTGAGTCGATTCCAACTCATAGCAACCACCTTTGAGTTTCTGAGGTGGTAAATCTTTATGGAAGTGGATTGTCCAGTCTTGTTTCTGAGGAGTGGTTGGTGGGTTTGAACCTCCAACTTTGTGGTTAGCAGTCACATGCCTTAGGCACTACACCACCAGAGCTCCTTATACCTGGACTTATAGATGTTATTTAATGAACCCTATGCATATATTGTTTATCTGTCTTCCAGAGTCCTTTTTTTTTGTCAATTGTGATTTGGGTGAAAATTTACAGAACAAATTCACTTTCCATATAGCAGTTTACATACTCTTTGTCTCATGACATTGACCACAATTCACCACAATGCAACAGCTCCCCTCCCACTTCCTCCCAGTTACCTCTTCCCTGTGTCCATCCCTCCATGAACCCCTACCCCCTGAGCTGTTCCCCTGTGCATAAACAGCCCTTCTTTCTCCCTTGATTGTTCTCTCCAAGGAGTGTTGATGGACACCTAGGTTGTTTCCATCTTTTGGCTATTGTAAATAATGCTGCGATGAACATGGGTGTGCATGTGTCTATTCTTGTCATGGCTTTCACTTCTTTAGGATACATACCTAGTAATGGAATGGCTGGGTCAAATGGTATTTCTAATTGCAACTTTTTAAAGAGTCGCGATACTGCTTTCCACAATGGTTGTACCATTTTACAGCCCCACCAGCAGTGTATGAGAGTCCCAGTCTCTCCACATCCTTGCCAGCATTTGTTATTTTCTGTCTTGTTGAACTTTGTTACTAGTGCTGGAGCAAGATGGTACCTCATTGTTATTTTGATTTGCATCTCTCTAATGGCTAATGATCGTGAGCATTTCTTCATGTTTGTTGGCTGCCTGAATATCCTCCTTTGTGAAGTGTCTATTCATGTCTTCTGCCCATTTATTAATTGGATTATTTGTCTTTTTGTTATTGAGGTGTTGGAGTTTTCTATAGATTCTAGAGAAGTCCCTTGTCAGATACATCATTGCCAAATATTTTTTTCCAATCTGTAGGTTCTCTTTTGACTCCTTTGGAGAAGTTTTTGGAAGCATATAAAAATTTGATTTTTAGAAGATTCCATTCATCCAGTTTCTCTTCTGCTGTTTATGCATTTTGGGTTTTACTTGATAGTCCATTTATGCTATATATTGTTGTTGTTGTTATGTGCCGT